GTGTGTGTGTGTGTGTGTGTGTGGCTGGACGGATAGATGGATGGACGGATGGACAGGTGGGTGGACAGATGGCGACAGCCCTGGAATCCTGCAGACCTGGGTTCGGATGTGGGCCCCGCTCCTGACAGTCTGGCCAGGGTTTCCATCGGACCATTGGCTCCGGTTCCTCGGTGAAAGGAGACGTTTGGACAGGATGGTAGTGGAGAGGCCTTCCGGCACTGTCCTGACCCGCGGGGTCGCTTCTTCTAGACCCTCTGCGCGCAGCCGGGTGGGCCGAGTACTGCAGCGCCGTCCCAGCCGAGATCCCGCGGCTCCCGCCACCGGGGCGCTGGGCCCCGCGCGCGCCCTCTACTGGCCAAAATACCTGCGGCAAAAGGTAGCGGGTCGGATGTCACTCAAAAATGAGGCCCTGCCTAAAACACAAAACAGAAGAAAAAGTACGGGGTGTGGCCCAAGTTGCGCAGCGTTTGCGTTACAGACTGGAGGCCAAGAATAGACCTAAATTATACATACATGTGTGGCCATATGCAGGGTCATATGTCTGTCCACCCAGACACAGTAATTACAGTGTGGTGTATGCAGGGGAGGGTTCTAATAGTGAACCCCTTTGAACAACTAACTTAAAGCTTGACAGAATGAATACCAGAACGCTGGAACGTGGGTTCGGCCAAGGGACGGGGTGGGGCAGATGAATGGAGAGAGGAAAAGTGGTCAAATACAGTCATAATATTCAATGTATATATGTGAAAATGGAACTAGGTAAATTGAGGGGATGGGTGGGGTTGGGAGAGATGAGGGACAACAATGAAGGGGTGATACTGATCCAATGATTGGGCTCACAAACTGATGTTGAACGGAAACACCTTTGTGCAAGCATTTACGGATATTTATAATATATAATATAGCATATGTGTTGTACATATACTAGCTATATACGAATTAGAAATATATACATAAACTATATATGCATATGTATTATGTTGTACATATTATATATTAAATATACTATATATATGTGGGAATTCAATCCCCAATTCAGGGACCAGTTGAGGGGGGAACGAGGGCACAGGTGAAGCCCCTGCAGCCCTGTGTCCCGTGAAGGAGTAAAATGCAAACAACTATCTTGAAAGACCTTCCTGCCCATCCTATCCTTCTGTAGCAGGCTGCAGGGGAGACTGGCTAGAACCCATTGTTACGCCTCTTGAGTAAAAATGGTCTGCTAAGTGATATTCAATGTCATTAATTTATGAGCAGATAACTGGAAATGCCCAGAACATTCTGATGGCAACTGTACCTCCTAACCCATAAAATAAATAATTCAGGAAGAATATAAAGTTCATCACATTGCCTTAGAAAAGCACTTAATATTTCAAGAAAAGTGCTTATACATCAAATACTTTTCTGTGGGTTGAAAAGCTGCAACTTTATAGCAGGAGCAGTAGTGCAGACTTTTTTTTTTTTAGTTGTAAATGGACTTGAGAAAATATCTTCTTCAATACAGCGGAGCCTTGCCTTCTATTGTAAGTTGACACAGTCATTCACAAGGGGCTCTGAGAGCTGTGTCAAGCTGCCCACCTCTTGTTCTTGTTCCTTAGGATTCTGCATGTAACTGGTGAGAACTAAGATTACTCCCCTCCCCCATCGGTAGTGACTAAGGGCCCTGGTGCTGTCTCTGAGTTTTTTTGTTTTTTGGTCTTGGGGCTTGAACTCTGGGCCTGGGCGCTGTGCCTGAGCGCTTCAGCTCAAGGCTAGCACTCTACCACTTAAGCCACAGCACTACTTCTGGTTTTCTGGTGGTTCATTGGAGATAAGAGTCTCACGGACTTTCCTGCCAGGCTGGCTTTGAACCTTGATCCTCAGATCTAAGCCTCCTGAGTAGCTAGGATTATAGGCATGAGCCACTGGTGCCTGGCTTTCTGAGCTTTTTCATTCAAGGCTTGTGCTCAACCACTTTGAGCTGCAGTTCCACTTCTGGTTTTCTAGTGGTTAGTTGGAGATCAGAGTCTCATGGACTTTCCTGCCTGGGCTGGCTTTGAACCATGATCCTTTAGATCTCATCCTCCTGAGTAGGATTATAAGCATGAGCCACCAGCACCTAGCTCTGACTCCCTTTCTAGCCCTAGGCAGGCTCCCACTTTTGGAAGGAGCTAGGGGCACACGCAAGAGCGTGCACGCACACACACACATGCTTGCACATACAAATACACACATCGACTCCAGCCTCAAGCCCAAGATAGATTGGAAGACTTCTAAAGACAAATGTCTCTTGATTTATATAGTTTTTCTCTCTTTTATGATTAAGCTACTTATTTAGAAGCAAAAGACTTAGATTTTTCAAAGATGGAAAGGAACCTCCACTTTCCTATTTGCTTAACAATATACATTTATTTCGGATTTCTTTTTGCTACTAAGTAAGAAGAAGGGAGACATTTCCTGAAAGACCATCTCTGTGGAGAGACTAATCCCTGGGACCGTTCTCCTGGTGTGGCCCTCGGCTGCTTTTCTGCAGATAGGTTTGGACCACAGCTCCACAGGGAAGGAGGTGTGGCATCTGCACATCTTGTAATCCCTGCCCCGAGTTCCACCTTGGCTTGGCCTTTCTCTTATCTTCACAGATGCATTGTTGAGCTAGCTCATAATTGGTTGGTTTAACAGGCACAGTACCTTGGTGTTGGGTGTTAGCAATGTTTTCAGGTTGGTTGTTTTTATTATTGCAAAGTTATACTCTTAGAAGTTCAGTTGGATATTTTTTCTTTTCTTTTTTGGCAGCACTGGGATTTGAATTCAGAACCCTGCACATGTTGGGCAGGTGCTCTACTACATGAGCTGCAACCCCAGCCCTTTTTGCTTTCATCATTATTCAAGCCGGTTCTCACATTTATGCTTGGGCTAACCGATACTTCTAGCCACTTACACACTCTTCCTATGTTGTTAGAATGGCAAGTCATACCCTACTTTTCATTGGTTGAGATGGCATCTCTCCAACTTTTGCCTAGAGTAGCCTCCAACCATGATCCCCCTCATTTTTTCCTCCTGAGTAGCTAGGATTACAGGCATGAGCCCCTGTGCCTGGTTAACCTAGTTGACTCTTGAAGTGTAAGAGACTACACAGGAGGTCAAGATCTGAAGATTAAGATTTGAAGCCATCCTAGCCAGACATCTGTAAGAGTCTCCTCTCTGAATAACTAGCAAAAATCCAGAAGTGGAGGCATGGCTCAAGAGGTAGAGTACCAGCCTTGAGCAGAAAAAGCCAACTGAGCTGGGCACCAGTGGCTCACGCCTGTAATCCTAGCTCCTCAAGAGGCTGAGATCTGAGGATCGTGGTTCAAAGCCAGCCCGGGCAGGAAAGTCCGTGAGACTCATTTCCAATGAACCACCAGAAAACTGGTAGTGGCACTGTGGCTCAAGTGGTAGAGCACTGGCCTTGAGCTGAAGAACCCAGGCCTAGAGTTCAAGCCCCATGAACAACAACAACAACAACAACAAAAAGCCAACTGAAATCATGAGGCCCTGAGTTCAAGCCCTAGAAAAGGGGGGGGGGGAGTATAAGCCCAGCAATGGTGGCTCATGCCTGAAATTCTACCTACTCAGGAGGCTGAGATCTGAGGATCAAGGTTAGAAGCCAGCCCAGGTTAAAACAAAAAAATCTAGGAAACTCTAATCTCCACTTAACCAGCAAAAAGCTGGAAGTAGAGGTATGGCTCAGGTAGTAGAGTAGCAGTCTCGAGCAGAAAAAGCCAAGCAAGGTCACAAGGCCCTGAGTACAAGCCCTGCTACGTTTCCACACCAGGTTTATACCTCCCAACCTTGTACTAGGTTTTACTACTTTAAACCTTCAGCAGAAATGAAATCTTTAAGTGGGTGCGGAGTGGTGGAGGTAATATCACTTTTATTTTGTCACAACCATAACATGCTGTGCTGCTGCCTATAGGCAAAAAAAAAAAAAAAAAGTGATTGTAAGGTTTAGCCCAGGTGCCAGATGCGCCGACACTACTATACGCACTGTGCAATTTAATGCAATTCAATCCTCCTGTCTAAAGTGAAAACAGAAATTCTCCAAAGAATACTGATATTTACTTGGGAACAGCAGAGCACTGGAATAGGTATTTAATTTGCATTGAATGAGATGGGCGCTGGTGGCTCAAGCCTGTCACCTTAGCTACTCAGGAGGCTGAGAGCTGAGGATCAAGGTTCAAAGCTGGCCGGTGCAGGAAAGTCCTTGAGATTCTTATCTCCAATGAACCACCAGAAAACTGGAAGAGGAGTTGCGGCTCCACGCAGGGACAGCGCTCAGGCCCAGAGTTCAAGCTCCATGACCAACAACAACAAAAAAAGATGAATGAAAGAGTCTAAGAAGACATGTGAAACTCAACATGCTTGTTTGGAACTTAGACGAGCAAAGCACTGTTTCATGGGGAGGGGGCATTCACCTGTGACTGTCTAGAGCCGCTGGCACTTAATGAAGCAAAGCAGAGCAACTGATGTGCATGCGGGTTGGAGTGCACTACACACCTGACTATTGCAAGGTGTGGGGCAGTGCCCTTGGCTGGCACCGTGCAGCCCACCTGTAGCCCACCGTGGGGTCTTTGGAACTGCCCAGCGATCATGTACTTTTCTAGGCAGTATCACTTCCTTAACCGTGAACATGGAGGCCCCCGCAGTGGCCTAACTCCCTTGTTCACCAGTGACAGCCTGCCATCTTAGCTCCATCTAGCCTTCCTCTGCCATCGCTCCTCCTGATCAAGACTAACACAGCCCATGGGCTCCAGAATCAGTTGGTATCATTGTTGTCTTCACGTCTTCATTCCCTCCCTCCCTTCTCTCCTTCCCTCTCTGGTGGAACTGAGATATGCCACACACTTGCTAGGCAAGTTCAGGTACACCCCCTTTTTGCTTTCATTAATTTTTAGATGGTCTCTCTTTCCTTTTCTACAGAACCAACCTTGGGCCAGGATCTTCCTACCTTTCCATGAAACTGAGGACAATAGGTTTGAACCACCACTCCCAGTTTGTTTGTTGAGATTGGGTGCGGTGTTTTGCCTAGCTTAAACTTGAACTATGTTCCTCTCGATCCTTACCTGTTGAGTATCTGAAGTCGCTATCTGTTTTTCTTTCTCTTTCTCCTTTCCCTTTCTCCTTCCTTCTTTCTCTCCCTCTCTCTTCATCTCTTTCTCTTACTCCTTGGGAAGTCACTTCCTGTCTCTGAGTCTTTCCAAGATTATAAGATTATAGCCAGGTGCCCGTGGTTTACACTTGTAATCCTTGCTACTTGAGATCTTAGGATTGCAGTTCAAAGCCAGCCTGGGCAGGCAAGTGTGTGAGGCTCTTATTGTTAGTTAACCACCAAAAGAGCCAGGAGTAGAGGCATGGCTCAAGTGATAGAGCACTAGCCTTGAGCAAAAAAAGCTCAAGGATGGTGCCCAGTTCCTGAATTTAAGCCCCGAGGACTGGGCACAATCAAACAATCATGCTTACATAGGATACCTATATATGGGATGACTAAAGAACAAACAGGTGTCATAAAGAGCACGTGACCTGTGAGAAGGAGCATTCCCGAATCCACATGGCAGTGATGAAGCTGAACCCCAGGTGCTGTTGGAGGCACTTGGCGCATGATGGGAGGTCGGGCTGGGGATGGAAGGTCGGGCTGGTGTCCAAAGATGATGGGGATTCTCTTTGGTTTTGACAGTCAGTGGAATTGTTTGCTCTGTGTATTTCAGAAAAGCTTGGACCATGTATACAAGTCACGAAGATGTTGGCTATGATTTTGAAGATGACCCCAAGGATAAGAAGACACTCAAGCCCCACCCGGACATTGATGGCGGCTGGGCTTGGATGATGGTCCTCTCTTCTTTCTTTGTGCACATTCTCATCATGGGCTCCCAAATGGCCCTTGGAGTCCTCAATGTGGAGTGGCTGGAGGAATTCCAACAGAGCCGTGGCCTGACAGCCTGGGTCAGCTCTCTGAGCATGGGCATCACCTTGATCGTGGGTATGTTCCTGGGCAACTGTCTTAGAGCAGGGATTGTAGAATGCCAGGCCACACTGCCAGGAGTGCTCTCTATTGCTGAGCCATTGGACAGGAGGTGTTAACCCTGTCACTCATAGAAATGTACAGGCTCCATGGTTCATGCCTGTAATGCTAGCTACTCAGGAAGCTGAAAGGTGAGGATGGCTGTTCAAGGCCAGTGCAGGGAAGTCTGTGAGACTCTTATCACCAATTAAGCACCACAAAAGCCAGAAGTGGAGTTGTGGCTCAACTGGAGTGCTAGCCTTGGAAGAAAGCTCGTAGATAGTGTTCAAGCTCTAGGACTGGCACATGGATGCGTGCGCGTGTAAGCGCGCGCGCACGCGCACACACACACACACACACACACACACACCACCATTTTAGCCATGTTTTCGGTGTATAGTTTAGTGCTATTAACTTTCTTCACAAGGTGGGTGGCCACTATCACCATCCATCCTGAGTACTAACTCCCACCTGAACTCCACCTGCTGCACCATTCCGTCTCCTGTCTTTGGCATTGTCTGTGGAATTGGAATGGTACACTGTCATTTCAGTGTGATGCAACTACTTGAATGTTGTAAATACTGGAAGGATTTTAAAACGTAATCATTTAAAAACATTCTTTTGTCCCAAATCTAATTTCTGAAGTATTATGAATCATTATAATCATGTATTATTATCTTTAATGTTTATTTTGTTTTTGAGACAGGGTCTTACTATGTAGCCCAGGCTTCCTTCAATCTCAAAATCCCTCTGCCTCAGCCTCATAAGTGCTCAGATTGCAGGCTCCTGCCACTATGCCCGGTTCTATTTAATATTGATGAATATATAGTATATAATGTAGTGTTTGTGTATGCTAATCATATACTAATAGAGACTGCGGTTATTTCCATTTGGATTTTTAAAAAGTTGTTTCTGAATATTACCTTCTATGCTTAGTTTTCTCTGATTTTGATTTTGCATCTTGAAACCCTTTCTTCATTGATCAAATCCTTTGTCAAGAATGTTCTTTGTGGCTATGAGGAAAGTCAGTAGCACATCTGTAGACTCCAGACACTAAACGCCATGGCCCTTGCACGGAGCCAGAGCCTCTCCCTGCCCATCTGCAGACCAGGGCCATTTCCTAGCAAGATGAGCAGAGTGAAGAGCAGGAACATAATTTCCTTGTCCTGCAGCTAAAATGGTGGGTTTCTTCTAATGTGGTTAATAGCTACCAAAACTCAAACCAGAACTGGGAGGAAAATAAGTCACCATGAGTGCTTTTTCAGATTCACCATGCTTCCTCTTTCCATGCCATTTAAACATAATTAAAAATGAACAACAAAAATAAGTATGAGGGTCTGCTGTAGTAGTTGTATTTCATTTAATCCTAACAGCATGGTGAGAGAATGATTGCAACCATTTCATAAAAGAGCTTAGGAGAGTCAAGTGACTGGTCTCCAAAGTCACACAAACAATGTGTGGGGAAGGGCCTAGGTTCACATGCATGTCTAAACCCTGTCCTGATGCTCTGGCTCCTGAATAAAGCTCTGTGTGTGTGTATGTATATGCATACGTATGCGTATGCATATGTGCACGTGCACACGTGGCACGCGCATGCACAGAAGCTTGCTTAGCTTTTTTGCTCAAGGTTGGCACTTACCACCTGGGTCATGCCTCTCTTTCTAGCCTTTTGCTGATTAATTGAAAAGAGTCTCACAGACTTTCCTGCCCCTAGCTAGCTTTGAACAATGATCCTCAGATCTCAGCCTCCTGAGTGGCTAGGATTACAGGCATGAGCCACCAATGCCTAGTTTATTCTTGTATTTTCTAATGAGCCTAACCATTCAGCAATCTTAAATAGGTAAAGATTCTAAACCGGGAACTTATTATGTTATTATGGCAACAATGATCACGTATGTGGTCATTTCCCTTATGTTGTCCCATTTAATATTATTTCATTCTCTTGGCAATCCTCTGAGGTAATTATCACCACTATTCTCTGAGGATCTTCAGTTGTTTCACCTGAAAGTAAAAATTCTGATAGGTTTTTTTAATTTAAAAGTTTCCTTTTTTTTTTTGTGCCAATTCTAGGGCTTGAACTCAAGACCTAGGTGCTGTTTCTGAGCTTTTTTGTTCAAGGCTAGTGCTCTACCACTAGATCCACAGCTCCACTTCTGACTTTTTTTTTTAGTAGTTATTGGAGATAAGATTATTCTGGGGGCGGGGAATATGGCTTAGTGGAAGGTGCTTGCCTAGCATGCATGAAGCCCTGGGTTCAATTCCTCAGTACCACATACACAGAAAAAGCTGGAAGTGGTGCTGTGGCTCAAATGGTAGAGTGCTATCCTTGAGCATAAGAAACTCAGAGACAGTGCCCAGGTTGGCAAAAAAAAAAAAAAAAGGCAAGCAAGCAAGCTAAAAAAAAAAAAAAGATTATTCTTGACTTTGCTGTTCAGGGTGGCTTTAAACCTGGATCCTCAGATCTCAGCCTCCTGAGTAGTTAGGAGATTACAGGTGTGAGCCATCAGTACCTGGCCAAAATTTTCCTATTTTATACAGGAAACTTTTAAAGGCCTCCTGAGCTTCTCTGGCTTTGTGAATATGTATTAGACAGGCATATGCATGTGTGATTGGAATCTCTGATTTCTACACTACTAATTAATTGCTCAATTATAATTCAGAGAGCTGTTCCTCTTGGCTGGCATTTACTATAAGTTATTCTGTCAATGAAACAACATGAATGACAACAGCAGTGCTAATGACAGAAAACAAGACAAAAGGTTATTTTCCATGCTGTGGTATGCAAATATGTGTATCTTCCCCCCCAAAAAAAGAAATAAAATTAATACTGAGCTGGCTTTCAAATTAAGGACACGACTTTGGGTGTGAGAGAATTACTGATGAATCATTTTTATCTGAAATATTACTAACAGACTCCTTGGACTCTATGCTGGTTTTGTTAACACTGGGACTTGTAGAAGGAGATGTAGCTCTAGTAATAGAGCAACAACTATGAATGAAAAAGCCAAACAAGGAATGTGAGGCCCTGAGACAAGCCCCAATACCAGCACAAACACCAATACCAAACACACACACACACACACACACACACACACACAATACTGGGAGTGTTATGACAAATGCAGACAAGTTCATCTTATCATGGGGAATGTTCTGGGATTTATGTGGGTTGTCATTCTGTCTTCTCCATAGGTTACAGAAGAAAAAAAACATTATGTTTCTACAAAATATAGATCAACCTAAGAAATAGATACATGTACAAACAACAACAACAAAAAACAACCAACTAGAACAGGCCAGTATTTTCAAACTATCCAATGAGGTTGTCTTGGATACAATTTTGTTTCACGGGCTATAGAAAGAAGCAGGAAGAATCCAGTCCTGAAGTGGTTGGACATGGTTTTTGGAGATGCACTCAGAAAGGGTGAAATGCATGATCATTTTTTTTCTCTGCCTGTACTAGGACTTGAACCCTGGGCCTTACACTCTTACTTGGCTTTTTCACTCATGGCTGGTGCTCTACCACTTGAGCCATACTTCTACTTCTTACTTTTTGTTGGTGTATTGGAGATAAGAGTCTCTTGGATTTATCTGCCCTGGGCTAGCCTTGAATTGAGATCCTCAGATCTCAGCCTCCTGAGTAGCTAGGATGACACTCGTGAGCCCCTGGTGTCTGGCCTAGTCTAACATTTCTAGCGTCCTGCTGGATGAGCCTCGTTTGCCCTGGAGCTCTGATATCCTAACACAGCAGGGTGACCAGCAATCACTGTTCGTGATCCTAAGCGGTCTGGTATAGGCTGGCTGCAGATAGGTTGAAACAGAACTTTTCCAACTCAGGAACTAGTATGATGGCTCTCCTTTATTTAGCACCCGCTCTCCATCCAGATGCAGGAGGCCGGTCTGTCATTTCTACCTAACAGAGGAAGAACAGGTGCTGCTCGCAGACACTAAGTAACTTCCCAAAGGGGTCAGCCAGTGAGTGAGTGGGATGGCCTGCCATGCTGGTCCTCCATTGCCTTCTGCCCACCTCCCCCGCAAGTGAGAGCTGGACAGAGATTTGAAGTGACTAAGGCTAAATTGTTTGCATTGTCTGATCACTGGAAGCAGTTTGGGGTTACCTCTTTTTCTCCAATTTTTATGAGCATACATTAGTTGCACAAAGGGGTTTCACTGTGCTATGTCCATCTATGCAGTCCATGTGCATGCAGCTACCCTAATCGAGCAAAAAAAATAATAATCCAGAAATGTAGTAGAAAGCCATCTCTTTCTTGGTCAGTGATTTGCATACAGTCAATTAATAAATGCATGCTTTCATTTTTTTTATTTATTTTTGTGTCAGTCATGGAGCCTGAACTCTGGACCTGGGCGCTGACATTCAGCTCTTCAGCTCAACGCTCTCTTGAGCCACAGCAACCACTGCTGGTTTTCTGGTGTTTTATTGGAGATTAGAGTCTCATGGACCCTGCCTGGGCTGGCTTTGAACCATGATCCTCAGATCTCAGCCTCCTGAGTAGCTATGGTTACAGGCGTGAGCCACAATTGCCTGGCTCATTCATTCTTTACTAGCATGGGTTTCCCAGTATCCCAACTTTTCACAAAATGTAACCAGCTCCTATCTCTGCCAGATGGCTCTTGGAATAAGTCTGGGTGCCATATTTGTTGGGGAAAACCCATGGGCTACAAAAGATGATGTGGTTGCCAGTTGTGGATGTACATCAGAACTACCTGGGGGGCTTTTAAGAATTCTGATGGTGCCTGGTATCGCACACCTGTAATTCTAGCTATTTAGGAGGCTGAGATCTGAGGATCATGGTTTGAAGCCAGCCTGAAGCAGGAAAAGTCTGTGAGACTCTTTCCTCCAATTAACCACCCAAAAGCTGGAGGTGGAGCTGTGGTTCAACTGGTAAACCACCAGCCTTGAATGAAAAAGCTAAGGAACAGTGCCCAGGACCTGAGTTCAAACCCCAGTACTGTCATACACAAACAACAACAAAAACAAAAGTCCTGTTGCTCAGGCTGCATGAAACCAGAATCCTCAAAGATAGGCTCCAAGTAGTAAAAAGGTTTTGTTTTAAGTTTCTAAGTGACTCCAGTGTTCAGCTAAGGCTGGGAGCCATTGATTTTTAAGTACTTAAATCATCACCAAAGTAAGAGTTACCCTAAGAGACCTAGGTTTCAAAAGATTGGTTTTCCTTTTCCCCCTGACCACTGGCAAGGTTCAGGGAAAACCTCAGCTTGTTGCTCTTCTCTTGTGCTTTTCGCTGCCTGTCAGATGCTTTCCTGAGATGCTTTCCTGAAGCAATTTCCTACAGCCATTGGACCCCATGCTGTGTGGGAAATGGCCAAGACTCAGATTTCTTCTGTAGAGTTGGAGTCATGCTTGCAGTCTCCTTCCAATTCATCCAGTTGCTCACCAAAGAGGGAGGCATGGCCAGAGCATTGTCTCTAGCTTTCCTTATTCCCACTGCAAAGTGTGAGGGGAATTCTTTTCATTTTGAAACTATGATTGGATCTTGGCATTGTGGCTGGCCATCAGTGAACAATGGTTAGAAAATAAGAGCTAGAAAGCTTGGCTTTGAGTTATTTTTTTAATGTGTGCTATTTCATAACAGCATTTCTGGTCTGAGGTTACCCAATTGCAAATTGTGAAGAACTGACGTTGCCAAGCATGAAAGAGCTGTTGGTCTTGGTGTGGTGGTGAATACCTATCATCACAGCTACTTAGGAGGTGGAGGTGGGAAGATCACCCAGGAGGTGATCCTGCTACTCAGGTGGTTGAGATCTCAGGGTCTAAGTTCAAAGCCATCCTAGGCAGGAAAGTTTGTGAAATGCTTTTCTCGAAATAACCAGCAAAAAAACCTGGAAGTGAGAATATGTATGACTCCAGTGGTAGAGCTCTAGCCTTGAGCACAGAAGCTCAGGGACAGCATTAAGGCTCTGGCTTCAAGCCCCCCCAGCCAGCACAAAACTAAACTAAAACTACACACAGTCTGGCCCAGGGGCTCACACTGTAATCCTAGCTACCCAGGAGGCTGAGATCTGAGGATTTTGGTTTGAACCCAGCTTAGGCTGGAAATCTATGAGATTCTTCTGTTCAATTAACCACTAAAAAGCTAGAAGTGGAGCTGTGATTCAAGTGGTAGAGTGCTAGCCTTGAGCAAAAAAGCTCAGGGACAGTGCTCAGGCCCTGAGTTTAAGCCAGGACTGGCACAAAACAACACACACACACACACACACACACACCTTAAAAGTTTAAGGCTGGGAATTTGGGTCTGGTGGTAGAATATTTGTCAGCAAGTACGAGGCCCTGTGTTCAAATCCCCAACAATGCCCAAACAAAAATAAACACAACAGACTGTTAACTACATATGGTTTAATCAGTAAAGTCAATACCCTCTGTCTGATTTATAAAACTCCTCTGCATATATTTGACTGATGTGATTTTTTTCCTCCCTCAAATGCTTTGTTAGTATCGTATTTCACAAGCATCAGCATCAGAAAATTTTCTGTAATATGAAAAACACTGAGCTATTGCAGTGACCTTTGACCTTTCATATCTTGAAAGGGCACACCAATGAATCATGCATTTTTCTTTTTATGGTCAGTCATCCAAGTTTGGCTTGGTCAAGTGAATATGGATTTAGAAAAATGAAAGAACTATCTTCAACTTAAGGAATTTTTGATTGCCCAACCACCAGATTCCTTCAGAGTTTTATATCCATGGGCTTAATTTACATATCTGTATGGTAAGTCTTTGTTGTATGTGTGTGCCAGTCCTGGGGCTTGAACTCAGAGCCTGAGCCATGTTCTTGAGCTAATGTTCTACTACTTGAGCCATAGATCTACTTCCAGCATTTTGGTGGTTAACTGGAGATAAGAATCTCATAGAGGGCTGGGAAGGTGGCTCGGTGGTAGAGTGCTTACCTCGCATGCATGAGGCCCTGGGTTCAATTCCTCAACACCACATAAGCAGAAAAAGCTGAGTGGCACTGTGGCTTAAGTGGTAGAGTGCTAGCCTTGAGTTGAAGAGCTGAGGGACAGTGTCCAGGCCCAGAGTTCAGGCCCCACGACTGGCAAAAAAAAAAAAAAATCTCATAGACTTTCCTGCACAGGCTGGTTTGGAACTATGATCCTCAGATCTCAGCCTCCTGAGGAGCTAGGATTGCAGGTGTGAGCTACTGGTACCTGGCTGCATATATGAGAAGTCTTTACATTCAAGATGTTTAGGATAGAGCAGTCTCAAAAACACTAGCTAGGGCTGGGGGCATAACTTAGCAATTAAGTACTTGCTCTGAGTCTCACATGCATGAGACCCTGAATCCAATCCCCAGCACCACACATGCACCCAAAAACAAACTAGACAAAATAATTGACAAACTGTATATCCAAATAGAACATAAAGAAAGCTGGAATGTTAAAAAAATAGTTTAGACTAAAGAGGGAAACTTAGAGCTTGATTAGATTTTGACTAGTTCACCTTAATGTTAAGGTAATTAACTACATAAAGTATGATGCCCAGCATGGTGGTGTATCCCTGTAACTCCCTGTATCCAATCAAGAGGCAGACACTGGGATCTCAGTTGGGGACTATCTCAGCAGCAAGCCAGGCACGGTGGTGCAAACCTGTAATGTCGGATAGTAAGGAGGACCAGCGACTGGGGCTAGCCTGGGCAAACGCAATATAGACTCTTACCTGAAAATCTGAAAGCAAAGCGTTTGGGGTGTGGATCAACTGGTAGAGTGTTTTGAGTTTTCTCTCACCCCAGTATCTACAACACAATAATAAAAAATAAGGAGCTGCTCAGAATGTGCCATCTTTCTGAATCACGTTGTACTGGTAAAATCTGGATTGCTATTTGAGCACAGACTATTGATCATAAGGCAAACATTCAGCTTTGAAGAAATCAGAAATCACCATAAAACCAAGGAGAAAAATCAAGGAGACTCATGTTTAAAAACCAAAGCTGCAGGCAGATCCCAGTGGCTCTAGACTACAATCCTAGCTATCTTCAGGATCATGGCAATTCCAAGACAATCTGGGTAGACAAAGCTGAGAAACTCTTATTTGCAAACCAGCAAAAAGCCAGCAGTGTAGCTATGGCCCAAGAGGTAGAGCACTAGCCTTGAGCAAAAAAAATCTAAGCAAGAGCATGAGACTCCAGATTCAAGCTCCAGGACTGGCACCAGATCGGAAGAGCTAAGGAAGTGATTAGCATGTAGTACATTATATAGAACTGGTTGCTAGGCAACCCAGTTGCGTAGTGTACATTCTTGCACTACAAGGTGAGTTCCTGTGTCTCCACACTGTCTTAAATGCATAGCCTGTTGGGTCCAGTCAAGGACCTGGAGAGTCAACAGGGACAGAATGTGGAAGCAATGATCATCAGTACCTTACAGCTTGATTTGTGTTGTCATGACAACAGGTCCAATCAAGGACCTGGAAAGTCAACAAGAACTGAATATTGAAGCAATGACAATCAGTACTTTACAGCTTGATTTGTGTTGTCATGACAACAGGCTGAACGCAAAGGAGTTCAGAGAACTCCCTTCTTGTACCCTTTTTGAATAGGGGGTCAAAAGCTCAGATAAGTAAAGAGAGCAAATAAATGAGGCAACTGAGGCAGGGAGGCGAGTATGAGGCCAGGGGAAGGGGCGAGACTGTGACGCAGCCCAGCAGGGCCATACACCACCATGGCTCCTGCTGGCTGGAGCTCTGTGAAAAGCTGGTTTGGGTTGTCATTAGTGTTTTGTTTTGCTATGTGAGTTTTTCTTACTGTTTAAATATTGCCAACTGATTCCAAGCATTTTCCAAAGTTTGTTTGGAGTCAGAAAAATGCATCTAGAGAATGAGCATGGCACCTCGACCACTTGAGGAATGAGCCTGTGTGTGTGTGTGTTTTATTATCATTTCGTGCTGCTGTCTGATGGCTCTCTGTCTCTCCCTCCCTTCCCTCTCTGCATGTTAAAAGGGTTTCATACTTTCATTTTTTGTTTTGTTTTTCCTTGTTTTGGTGCCAGTACTGGGGCTTGAACTCAGAACTTGGGTAGTGGGCCTTTAGCTCTTTTGCTCAAGCCCAGTGCTCTACCACTTGAGCCATAGCTTTCCTTCTGGCTTTTTAGTGGTTCATTAGAGATAATAGAGATAAGAGTCTCTTGGATTTATCTACCCTGGGCTGGCTTTGAACCAGGATCCTCAGATCCCAGCCTCCTGAATAGCGAGGATCACAGGCAGTACCTGGCTTGTTTTTGCCTTATTTAAAACATCCCTCATAAGGTGTTATTCTGTGTTGGCATGAGGATTTCGTAAGGCAGCAGGGAAACCTAGTCATCTTCTTTTCTGATGCTCTGTGGCAGGGCCTTTCATCGGCTTGTTCATTAACACCTGTGGGTGTCGGCAAACCACCATTGTCGGAGGCCTGTTGAACTCGCTGGGCTGGGTGCTGAGCGCCTATGCAGCCAACGTGCAATATCTCTTCATTACTTTCGGGGTGACCGCTGGTAAGCATGTTCTTTTTATAATCTGTTTAAATGATTGCTAGTTGCTGTTTTGTTGTTTTTTTGTTTGTTTATATGGTACTGAGGAATCGAACCCAGCATGCTAGGCAAACACTCTGTGGGACCTGAACTCTGGGCCTGGGCGCTGTCCCTCAGCTCTTCAGCTCAAGGCTAGTGCTCTACCGCTTGAACCACAGCACCACTTCCAGCTTTTTCTGTTTATGTGGTGCTGAGGAATCAAACCCAGGGCCTCAGACATGCAAGGCAAGCACTCTACCACTGAGCCACCTTCCCAGCCCCCAAGCCCTCTTTTTATCATTTTGTATTATATGTTGTATTAGGCATTTGGGCAATGGGCTTCACGGTGAAGAAAAGAGACACACTAACACATTCCTGTTCTGCTCCCCAGCCCCACTCCATAGCTCTGATGTCACATGTGGTTTCAGGGTGGGAAACTGACCTAACCACTGGGTACCTGGCCTCTCAAAGAACCAACGTCAACTTTAAACTTCCTACACCAGTTTGGAATGTGAGACCACTCTCCTAGAGGAAAAGAAGAGTTGAGGACACTTAGTTCAGAGAATAGATAAGTGTTAAGGAAATGAAAAACCGTTTTTGCATTTAATCAGATGGAGGATGAATCACAGAATGACTCTGCTTTCCGGGCAGTTGAAATTAATGAAGGAGCAAGTCACGCACACGCAGGAAGGAGGGATTCTAAGAAGCAAATCGGGAGCTCAGCGAGGTGTCATCCCAGGGACAGATTGAAATTGACTGCCCAGTAGTTGGCTGTGTACTGTGAAATGTTTTCCCAGCTGTAATTTCCTTTATCAACAGGTACAGCATTCAAACACCTAATGAGTTACTTCCCTTTGCAATTATGTGTCAAAGAACCTGAACCAGCCTGATCCTTTTTGCATACAGAGCTACAGTCCCCCTGATAAATGATACATTGGACCTGTGTTAAAAATTGGTTTGAGCCAGGCACTGGTGGCTCATGCCTGTAACCCTAGCTATTCGGAAGGCTGAGATCTGAGGATCATGGTTCAAAGCCAGCCCACGCTGTAAAGTCCATGAGACTCTTATCTCTAATAAACTGCTCAGAAAAAGCTGGAAGTGGCGCTGTGGCTCAAGTGGTAGAGTGTGCTAGCTTTGAGCACCAAAGCTCAAGGACAATGATCAGGCCCTGAGTTCAAGCCCCAATACTGGGGGGGAGGAGTGGGGAGTTGGTTTGGAATTCTGGTCTTTTGTTGGGGGTGCCAGTACTGATGCTCAAATTCAGCCCTTGGATGCTGTTCTGAGTCTCACAGACTTTCCTGCCCAAGATGGCTTTGAACTGTGATCCTTGGATCTCAGCCTGCTGAGTAGCTAGGATTAAAGGTGTGAGCCACTAGCTCCTGAGCTCTGGTGCTCAAAGCTTAGAGGACTACCACTGAGCCAAAGCTGATTAATTGGAGATTAACTGCTGATTAAATGAAGTTAATCGTCTCAAAGACTTTCTTGCCTGGGCTGGTTTCAATCCATGATCTTCAGATCTCAGCCTCTTGAGTCGCTAGGGTTACAGGCATGAACTACCAGCTCCTAGCTAGAAAGATGTTTTTGGAAAGATGTTATTCTGGCCAAGTTTTTTTCCCAGGGAAAATCCAAAGGAAGCCTCTGGAATCAGCACATATGTAAATGGAAAACCTAGCCAAAGCAGTTTTGGGTTCCCTATGCAAAGTGTCACTGAGTGGTCATCAGTGAGGCCCAATGGTGTCACATGATTTACATTTAGGAGAGACTTTGTTGATAGTCTTCTTCATTCCAAAGAGCATTTGAAGCAGATCTATGTAATATATATATATAACTATATATATTAAATATTATATATATATTAAATATTATATATAGTATTTAAACAATTCAACTGCCAGGGAATGCCCTCCTACCAAACAGATGGACACCCCTCTGAGCAACCTGCCTCAGCCATGGAATTTTAGGCAAGTTTCTACAGCTTTGCCAAGCTTTGCCTGGCTCCTAAAGGTACTGTCTCTCCGTCCATGCTGACCTGGACCATAGGATTTTGTCTCCCTCTGGACATCTCCCTGCCCAACCTGCCTTTTCCATGCCTCCTTTAAACTGTGTCTCAAGAGTTGGCCCAGAGCCCTGCTCTGATATTTTGGAGGCTTTAAGTAAGTCTACATATCCCCTATGCTTTTGTGAGAATTGTGCTAATTATGGGGAGCAGAGTCACACACTAGTCCCTCACGCCTATAATCCTAGCTATTCTGTGGAGATGGGGCGGAAGGGGGGTGGGGAGAGGAGGATTGTAGCTCAAGGTCAGCCCAGGCATAAAGGTTGTGAAACCTTCAACTAATAGCTAGGCATAGTGGCATATATAGGAGACTCACAAGTCTAGGCCATCCAGGCCAAAAAACAAAAGAAGTTCTTAAGACTATCTCATCAGAAAAGGCTGGATATAATGGTGCTTGCCTGGCACCCAACTATGGTAAGAAGTATAATAAGAGGACTGCAGTCCAGGGCTGTTCAGGCTACCAGTGAGACCCTATTTCACACATAACCAGATTGGTCCAGGACAGTCTAAGCTAGGAATAAGACTCTGTGTTGCAAGTAACCACAGCAGGGGTGTGGTTGTCAGTAAAGAGCTAGTCAATGAGGGGAAGCGTCAGATACCGAGTATGAGTCCCAGTCTTGGAAAGAAAGAGAGAAAGAGAGAGAGAGAGGGAGGGAAGGAGGGAGGGGGGAGGGAGGAAGGGAGGGAGGGAAAAGGGAAGGGAAGGAAGGGAAGGAAGGGAGGGAAGGGAAGGAAGGGAGGGAAGGGAAGAACAGAAGGAAGGAAGGAAGGAAGGAAGGAAGGAAGGAAACAAGGAAGGAAACAAGGAAGGAAACAAGGAAGGAAGGAAATTAACTGCAGCCAAAAGGGCTTTGGGTATGTCTCAAGAGGTAGAGCATTGTCTAGCAAGTGCAAAGCCCTGAGTTCAAACTCCAGGACCACCAAAAAAAAGGGGAGGATGGATGCTGGTAAGAGCATGAATGGGCTTCATAGCAGAAATCTGATGCATGTAACACTGGATACAGACTTTGTTCCTCATATATGGAAACATTTATAAATTTTTATTGTTATTATAAAGGTGATGTACTGTCGGATGAAGAGTACATTTCTTTTTGTAAATGTCACCCTTTCCCTTGCTCTCCCAGTTTTTCCCTCCCATCCCCACCTTCAAGTTGTCTAGTTCATTTTCAACATAGTGTCTAGTGAGTGCCACTGCTGCATTTGTTGGAAGCATGCATTTTATACCACGTAGAATTAACATTGTTCTGCTCATGCCCATCAGTCCTGTTCCCATGGGTCATTTTATACTATGGCTGCTTAGAAATCTATAGCTATATGAAATTTAAGGTGTTACTAGCATGGTGGTAACCGCCTGTAATCCCAGCACTCTGGAGGCTGAGGCAGGAGAATCACAAGTTTAAGGCCTTTTTCAAAAAGAACAAAAACAAAACAAAATGTAGGATGTTAATGACCATAATTGATAGATCATGTTCTTAATTAAACTATTTTGTGACATTGGCAAAATCTGGAGTGTGAGGAAATTCCACAGGACAAATGACCCCGTTTCTTCAATAAATAAACTGCAAGGAAAAGAAAAAGCCAACAGAGACTCAGCATAGGTATCAACAAAGCAGCATGTGGGTCTCTTTGATCCTGATTTAAGCACACAAGTGCTTGTATTTTTATAAATAGTTATCTATGAGACATTTGGAAATTTGAACATTTTCTGGATATTTGAGGACATCAAGGAATTGTTTATTTTTTTATTCAAATGAGATGATATGATTATGCTGCTTAAATAATTCTGACATTTGGAGATTTATCCTAAAGTATTCCTACATAAAATAATATATTCAGTATTTGCTTCAAAATAATATGGAGGAGGTGGTAACAAAATTGGTCCTGAGTTGCTAACTGTGGAAGTGATGGGTATATGAAAATTCATTAAATCGTTGTTTGTTAAAACCTTACTTTGAATTGGATTTAAAATGTTTCATTAGCCAGTAGCTTGTTGTAAGAAGTAAGAGATTAACACTAATCGATCCTTTGTTACAACACAGGTAGGTTACATTTACATATGATTTACATGTGTAATATATGCAAATATATGTAAATTCTATGTATCTCAGGACAACACAGAAACAGCAGATGGTGTTGTCTTTGACTTACTAATGAGAAAGCTGAGCCAAAGAGTGTTTAACTGACTTGATCAAAGTCATATGTTCCTTAAGGAAAGCAGAATAGGATTCATACTCAAGACATCTGGGTTCTTCCCAATAGTGTCGTAGAAGTGATAATACTGCTATCATACCTAATATCAAAGAATCTGTGGGTTCTTTAATAAATGCAGGCTGGGCTGTATGACATTTGGGTCAGTGATAGATTGTACCTATGACAGTGGTCCATGAGATTGGATCACTAGCTGACATTGCCATTGTGTAAGTACCTTTATGATGTTTGCTCAATGACAAATGGCCTAGGGACACATTTCTCAGGACTAGTCCTGTCATTAATCAATGCAGGGCTGAAATTGGTGTTTTAAGAATAGCCATAGATTCACCTATTTTCTGGTGTGTATATGTGTATATCAGTTCTGGGGCTTGAATTCCAGGCCTGGGCACGGTCCTTAGCTTGGTCCTTAGACTAATGTTCTATCACTTGAACCACAGTTCCACATCTAAATTTTAGGGTTTAGTTGGAGATTAGAGTCTCACAGATTTTCCTGCCCATGCTGACTTTGAACCACAATCTTCAGATCTCAGCCGCCCGAGTAGCTAGGATGACAGGTGTGAGCCACTGGTGACCAGCTCCAAATACACCTATTTTGCAGCCAGCTTTCTTTGTACTTTAGCCTTAGAGATGTAAAATTCATCTTGCTTGAAAAAAAAAAAAAGGTTGCTATTATATCAAAATTTGACCATTGTATCTCGCCATAGAACTTTCTGCCATTGATCTGCTATGTGCCAGGCCGTGTGCTAGAACAGCGATCAAAACAGAAGACCCTGCCCTTGTGAAGATTATAGTCTAGCAAAGAGAGGCCTAGGCAGACCGTCAGCAGTAGATGCCATGGGAAGAAGGCATGGCTCAAGTAAGAGTGTGCCAGTCTAACAAACTCTTGGCCCTGAGTTCAAACTCCAATACCACCAAATAAAGTACACATTATAAATACGTAAACCATATGCCTCAGTCCCATAGGAACAAAGAAAAGCAGAGTAGGGTAGGGGCTTTGGGGAATGGAAGTGGTAGAAGGGGGAGGTTTCCTCTTAAACAGAATGTTCTGGATGGGCCTCTCGAGAATATAAGTGATAGAGCAGGATGTCTCTTGGGTTTGTAGAAGGTAGACTAATGTGGGAGTAAACCCTTTAGGAGTGAGGCCTACTGGGAGGAAGTTAGGTCATTGGGCCTGCTCTGGAAGAGGGTATTAGCTCCTTCCTCTTTTTTTTTTTTTGGTCAGTTGTGGGGCTTGAACTCCAGCCTGAGCACTGTCCTTGAGCTCTTCTGCTCAAAGGTTAGTAGTGCTATACCACTTTGAACCACAGCTCCACTTCTGGTTTTCTGGTAGTTACTTGAAGATAAGAGTCTCACAGATTTTCCTGCCTGGGCTAGCTTTGAACCTAGATCCTCAGATCTCAGCCTCCTGAGTAGGTAGGATTACAGGCATGAGTTACCTGTGCCCAAATATACCTATATGGAACCTTTACATTCATGATGTTTAAGTCAGAGCAGTCTCAAAAACACTAGATAGGGGTGAGGGGATAACTTAGCAGTTAAGTACTTGCTCTGAGTCTCACATGTATAAGACCCTAAATCTAATCCCCAGCAGCAGCAGCACCACCACCACCACCACCACCACAACAACAACAACAACAAAAAAAAACTAGACAAAACAATCGACAGACTATACATCCAAATAGGAACATGAAAATAGCTGGAACGTTTTTAAAAATTAATTTTAGTTTAGGCTACAGAAGGAAACTTAGAGCTTGATTAGATTTTGAATAGTTCACCTTAATGTTAAGGTAAATAACTACATAAAGCATGATGGCGCATCCCTGTAATCCCCAACATGCATTGGATTCACTATGCAATGAAATAGAGTAGCAGTAAAAGTAGTAGTAGTAATAATAACAAAAAAAAAGAAGACTGATATGGAGTTTGGTTGAAAGTTGGGGTCTTATTGTGTAGCCAGGCTGATTTTGAACTCTCCACCTTCCTTCCTCTTCCTCCCAAAGGCTGGGATTACAGGTATACACCACCATGTTCTGCTACCAGTCCTTTTCATACTCATTTTCCCCCTAATGCTTCTTACTGGGATATTGCAGCCCTCACTGGGGCTTGGCAGAAGGCTTCGTGACTTCCTACCATCTGCTGAGAGTCACTTAAAAGCTCATTCAGTTGCTCTGCAAACACTGGTATCCATCCAACCCCCCACGCCAGAAGGATCACTGGCTTCTGTTTCTGTCAACATCTCAGCTCCAAGGTAAATGAGGCGCCAGTGTTTCTTGGGGCTTTTGTGAGAAACTCAGGCTGATGCTCCATTGTTAGCAGTGGGGAAACGGCAGCTGCTTGGGAAGGTTGTGTGAAATGGAACCAGGCATGTGGCGAGCACGGGAGGATGGGAGCCATTGTTTCTGTGGATGGCGACTGCTCTGTCCCCTCCCGCATGTAGGTAACTCTAACCCTGTTAAATCATGCTGAACAAGAAAGGCTCAGCTCTGGACAGAGACACTGGTCGACATGTCCTTTATACTGTTAGGCTGCTTTTATGTTGAGTGGTCTGGAGCATCAGGAAAAAATGGGGTCCACTGGGCCTGTGAAGTGAGGCTCATGGTTTCTCTCTCTGAAAGATGAGAATAGACCTGCTTGACCAACAGTGTATCACTTTATATATTTTACTTTTTATTTTTATATATTTTGTCTATTTTTAGGTTTGTGTGTGTGTTTGGAGTAGTTGTAAAGTGGTGCTGTGATTCAAGTGGTAGAGCGCTCCTCTTGAGCTGAATTGCCCAGAGAGGGTACCCAGACCCAGAGTTCAAGCCCCACCACCGACCAAAAAAAAATGGCAGGAAGTTTTGGAGCTGGGAAGGTGGCTCAGTGGTAGAGTACTTGCCTAGCATGCATGAGGCCCTGGGTTCTATTCCTCAGCACCACATAAGCAAAAAGAAAAAAGCTGGAAGTGGTGCTGTGGCTCAAGAGCGCTAGCCTCGAACTGAGGAGCTGAGGGACAGAGCCCAGGCCCAGTGTTCAGGCCCCAGAACCAATAAATAAATAAATAAATATTAGAGTAGTTGTAGGTTCTGGGCAAAACTGCGTGGAAAGTATAGTAATTTCCACACATTGATGGTCCTCCCACATATCCATCTCTTGCCAGCATTGTGTTTGTTAATGTAAATAGTGGACTGTTCCTATTTTCAAAAGATGGGATTGAAAATCAGAGGTGCAAAAATTATGTGGGCTTGATATCCAGTAACTACCTATACTTTATGTTTATAATTCCTTTTAGTCTTCCAACTTGTTGCTGACCCAATTGGCTCTTTCCTCAATCTTACGCAAATTGTACCCTTGTACATAAACACTTTCCGGATACATACTTTTGTGAGGCCTAGCCAGGCAGTGCTAGAACTGAGATGGTCCTGTCCCCAAGAAATTCACGTTCTGATGGAAGAGAGATGTTGTGTATGACATTAAAGGAAATTGTCCTGCAATGCCTGGCAGGAAAAACAATGGACCAGAAACAGCAGAGGCTCTTTCTAAAGCTTCTCTGAGCTTCTTTTTCTCCTTGGTATGACGCCTTATTAGAAAGAGAAAATGTAAGTAGACACTAATAGAAGGAAAGGAGTTACTGTGGTTTAGATCTGAGGTAACCACAAAGGCCATATGTGGAAGGTGTCATGTATCCTGTGGGATTCGATGTTAGGACCTGAGGCCTTTGGGGAGGAAGTTAGGTCATGGGGCCTGTCCTGGAGGAGGTGGTTAGGATGCTGCTCTTTATTTTCTCTGCTTTCTGGCCTCCAGGAAGGGAGCTGTTTTGGTTCTGCCATACCTTCCCATCACTTGCCATAGACTGCAATTCTCCACAGCTGTGAGCAAAAACCAACCTACCTCCCCTTTTTTTGCCAGTCCTGGGGCTTGAACTTGGGGCTCAGGCACTGTCCCTGAGCTTCTTTTGCTCAACGCTAACACTTTACCACTTGAGCCACAGCCCCACGTCTGGCTTTTTCTGAGTAGTTTATTGGAGATAAGAGTCTCACCGACTTTCCTGCCAGGATAACTTCAAACCACCATCCTCAGATCTCAGCCTCTTGGGGTAGCTAAGATTACAGGCCTGAGCCAACCAGCACCCACCTTCTCTCCTCCTCCTCCCTCCTTCCTTATTCCTCCTCCCTCCTCTTCTTCTCTTCTTCTGTGGTTGTGGGGCTTGAACTGAGGGTCTGGACTTTGGCTCAAAGCTAGCGTTCTACCACTGGAGCCATGGCAGCAGGTGCAGTTTTTGAGTAGTTAACTGGAGATAAGAGTCTCCTGGGGACATTTCTGCCCCGGCTGCCTTCGCACCGTCACCCTCAGATCTCAGCCTCCTGAGTGGCTAGGACTTCGGGTGTGCGCCCCAGCGCGGGCCCTCTGGCAGTGGGTTGGTTCAGGAGCCCCAGCGGCGGAGAGCGGGGCGGGCTGCGCAGGCGCCCTCCCCCGCCGCGCCTCGCTCACCGGCTGCCGTGTGCTTTGCCTCCCCTCTCCCCCCACAGGCCTGGGCAGCGGGATGGCCTACCTGCCCGCCGTGGTCACAGTGGGGAGGTATTTCCAGAAGCGACGAGCGCTGGCCCAGGGCCTCAGCACCACGGGGACGGGGTTCGGCACCTTCCTGATGACCGCCTTGCTCAAGTACCTGTGCTCGGAGTACGGGTGGCGCAACGCCATGTTCATCCAGGGCGCCGTGTCCTTGAACCTGTGCGTGTGCGGGGCGCTCATGCGGCCGCTGTCCGCGGGGAAGGACGGACCCCGGCCGGGAGCCCAGGCGCCCCGGGTCCTCCCCG